TCCCTTCCCAGTGCTCATGCCCAGGAGGATTAGTGAGAGATGCTTTAACCTACAGCTACTTGGAACAGCAGTGCTTTTTTTATTCTCCAAATAAAAAGTGGTTTGCTCTTACTAAAATAGCTAGATGCAAGCATGTTAAGCTTAATATATATGTGTGTGTGGGTACCTGAGAAAGCATCCCATGAGGTAACCCTGGAACTTTCTCCTGGGGAGATGCTGAGAATATCACCTTTGCTGCCAGTCTGTGCCACTGAATTTTGAAGAGGAAATGTGAAAAGGGAAAGGCAGATGCAGAAAGCAGAAGTTGTCACAGTTCATAAACGTGCAGAAGTTGTCCTTTATTGAAATTTCAAAGCTATTTTGAGGCCTTTCTTTTTTTTCTTAAGAATGAATTACAGTGGAATTCGTGCCATGCTTAGGATTTCTGAAACTTTAATTGTGTCAGTTGCTAGGTGTATTGACTACAAAGCTCTGAAAATATTAAACTATTTTTTACTTCAATAATTCTTGAGTTATTAGTGGGGGGACAAAATCTTTAAAAATAGAGCTAATAAAAGATTAAATATCATCCACAGAGAAACAGGCATGGTCCCTCAGCACCCCAAACCAAGTGTCAGCTTGCACCCAGTTTTTCTGGAAATCAGAGGCTGGAGGATCCCAGCACTGTCAGCCCTTTCAAAGGGACAGCATTACCTAAGACACAGTTCTTCAATTCCAAGCTTTGAAGCAAAGATCAGCACATCATTAACCCAACCTGTAACAAAGCTATGGAGTTAAAAATGTAGCTAAATGCAGGCATGTTAAGCTTAATATACATGTGTGTGTGGGTACCTGAGAAAGCATCCCATGAGGTAACCCTGGAACTTTCTCCTGGGGAGATGCTGAGAATATCACCTTTGCTGCCAGTGCGGGCCAAGCCAGGCTTGTTAGCAGCTTGTAAGTGACAGCCCTACTTTGCTTTGTGGGTATTTTAAGTGATGAGGGTAGCAGAGCTCCAGGGAGAGGTGATAACGTCTGTGCTGGTTTTCTTCTCGGTAGGGAGGTGGCAGAGGAGGAGGAGATAGGACTAATTGCATACCTTCCAATTCCAGTTACTTCATTACAGAATAATCACTGGAGCAGCCCTGCAATCTGCTCTGATAGCAGATAAGTGGCGTGGCTCGCAGCGCTTCAATCTAAACAAAACTTAAGTGCTTTTTCCTTTTTCCCTGGAGTGAAACTGTAATTTCGTTATGTGAATGTTAGCCAGGACAAAGTTGTTTTTGCAGCTGTCATGATGATTCTCTGGGCTTTGTGTTAGAGGTATGTCCCCAGTGGATGTAGCAAAAAGATCCTAAAATACTGCATTCCCATACCTGGAAGCTTCAGTTGAAGGCTCTCCAAATGTTTGCCAGGTGAAGATCTGTTCAGCTTTGACGTTGGATGTCTCAGAGGGTTTAGATATAAACCAGTGAAGGTTTGGATTATATTCCTTTCCAGAGCAATACATGTTAATTAACTTCTCTGTGTGCATTAGGCCCTGAAACAGTCAAGTGAAAGGGCCTGAGCACATCTCTGCTGCTTCAGAACACGAGTCCCTGTGGTGAGGGTGGTCACGTTGAAGCTTTGCCTCATTTTGGTTCTCTGGTGTGGAAATGGTGTTCAATGCAGCCCATGTGATGCAAAAGAGAAGTATCAGGCAGAGAGATTTTGCCTTTCTTTGAAATGGGGCAAAAGTGAATTTGTACTGCAAGCTGAACCCTGGGAAATCATAAAATCCCAGAATGTTTGGGTTGGGAGAGACCTTCAAGTCCATCTCGTTCCAACCCCCTCCCATGGTCAGGGACACCTTCCACTATCCCAGGCTGTTCCAACCCCATCCAGCCTGGCTTTGGACACTTCCAAGGATCCAGGGGCAGCCCCAGCTTCTCTGGGCACCCTGTGCCAGGGCCTCATAAAACACCTGGAGCTGCTGTTGATGACGATGATGACTTTAAGGTACTTTTTTAAGGCCACAGGATTACCCCAGACAAGTGCCTGGACTTTTCACAGTGCAGAACCGGCCAAACCCTAAACTCTCTTCAGGCTCATTTTTTCTGGACTGCCACAGAACCATTAAATCTGATCCTTTCCTAAAAAGACAGCTGAGTGTGCGATGTGAGCCACATAAAATTCTTTGTCTCTGCTTTGGACTTGAATGGAAAAGTAGTTTGTTTTCCCATTAAATTGACCTCAAGTGTTGCTGCCCCAAAGGGGGTCTGTTCTTGGCCAGGGGCAGAGCGTGCTTGGCTCTCCCTGTGCTTTGCTGCAAGCCTGCTAACTCACTCCAGGACAATGGTAATGCACTAAGGCAGGTATTTGTTAGCAGGTTAAATGTTTTGGGAAAGAAAATGTAATATGTACTTTGTGAAAGTTAATGGTTTTGTAAGGTGAGGTTTGGTTGTGTTGGTGGTAACTTGGTTGATAGGGTTGGTGGTGTAGATCAACTGCAGCACTAAGATCTGGGAAATAAATAAGGTGAAGTGGTGGTGAATTTCAAAGGAACAGAGTACAAGGCCTCTTTAATTGAATCTTACATTTTTAGGGTGGCTTTCAGAGGGAAAAGCCCAAATATGCTTTGCAAACCAACCTGTGCATTGTATACTGTAGTGGATCCATGTAGGGATCCATGTAGGGATCCATGTAGGGACAGTGTGACTTATTTAATGAGATGAACTGCATCATGTTCTTTTTCAAAATGGGTATTTCTTTATTTGTCTGGGGGAAAATACATTTTTCCTGAGAGTCTGTATCTGATCAGACTCCTGCATCCCTTTCTAGCCACTGATGTTGCAGGGACAGGAAGCTGGCAGGTTGGATTGGGTATTGCCTAAATAAAAATGAGGTTCAGGCCTGGAGTGTTACCGGGCAGGGCTGCCTGACCCCCACCTGCTGGGGATGTTGACTCACAGTGCTCTTTGCTCGTGGTTTGTTTAGGAGAAGGTTTTAGGATGTGGGTTTCACATGGGAGCACAGGTGCCATGCTGCCTTTTTAAGAGGTTGGGTGCCTTGACTTTGTAGGGAAAAGAAGCAAAAAAATGGGCTGTGATATCTTTCAAGCTGCTCCAAGGGTAATCCAGTGGGAAGGGACTCACCTCTGGACAGGTGGGTAGTCAGGAAGCATCAGCAAAGCCCAGCTCCTTCCTAAGAGTGAGCGGAATTCCTCCACCTGTGAACACCATTACATTCACCCAGCCTTGGCTCTTCTCTGGCTTCTGTTTGCCTTTTAATGGCCATGGGGTGCCTCAGTGCCTCCTTCCTCTCTTCCTGGTGTTTGGCTCAGGGGTTTGGTGGCCCCTGTGATGTTGGAATCAGCACATGGGAGCAGGTGGGCACTTGGGGAGTGTCCATGGGATTACACTGGTGTGGTTATGGCCTGGCTGCACTGGAACTCCTCATGTGCTTCCATATCCAGTACTTAGTCACCATCCATCCTCACTGCAGAAAATGAATAGAAGGCAAATTGTTACTGGAGACTTTTCTAGGGAAAAAGTTTTTAATGAGTACCTGAAGGGCCACAATCCCATGGATTGTGTGTGGTGTCATGTAGCTGTGAGCAGGTTTTCCTTATTGCAGAAGCTGGATTGATTCCTCAGGCTGGATAGCATCTGATTTTTATATGAGGGAGGGGGAAAAGTTGTGTGACTTTAATCTGAATTTACTAGGTACTTAATAAGAAAGACCTCTGCCCTGAGTGACTTGCTCAGCCTGTGTTGTGTTGCAGCAGCTCCATGGAGATGAAGCCTGCTGGCTTTATTTTACTCTGAAATCCATTTGGCTCAAAATTGCTTCCAGAATCTCATCCTCCCTGGTACTTCAGACTTGTGGCTGGGTAACCTGCTGAGTGTTGAGGCTTGTGGCAAAGCCTGGGTGCTGTGGTGGCCGAGAGGTGACACCTGCACAGGGAGCTTGTCCTTCAGGTGACAGGCAGAGGCGCATTTCCGAGAGCTGTCTGCTTCTGCCTGTCTCATCCCTTTATAATCTGCAATTTGTATTTAAAAGCAGAGGGATTTAAGTTGTTTTCTGTGCAGTTGTGGCCCCTGGGAGCAGTTGGCTGTCGTGGTGTTTGGCCCTGGAGCTGCCTTGGTGGCCGATTGCGCAAGCGAGCGAAGGTATTTGCAGCAGGCGCTTGGAAACGGGGATAATTCAAGTCTCCATCGAGCTCAGGCTCAAACAGGTTGTGGAATTTATTTATACAACACCACTGGGGTGTGTGACACTGCAGAGCCAAACAAACAGAGGTTCCCAGCCCCGAGGCTTGTGCTGGGTGTTAGATAAGGAGGGATGGGGTAATTACAGCCAGGGACATGGGCGGAGGGGTTCCGAGTGGGTGAGGGCTGCATCCGTGTGCAGAACATGAAATGTGCCTCATTAATGGCAGTGTGAAGAAACTGTGGGTGCACCTGGGGTTATGGCAGGGCTGGAGGTCAGCTCTGCAGGAGGAAGTGTTGTCTGAGCTGTTGGGGAGGTGTGGATTAATAAGGGAAAGCGGAAGGAGGCGAAATGAAACCAGCCAGGCGTGCGGGGAGCGGCCGCGTTACGTAGAAGCTGACGCGCAACAGCCCTGGCACTCCAGGGGCTCGGGGAATCTGGGTGTCACACCCCGACCCCAAAACATGTGTGCTTGATGGGAACAGAGGAGCAGGTAAAGAAAGGGTCCAATGTGGTTTCTGGGGCTTGGCTGTCCCTCCTCTCTGCTGTCTGTGCTCTCCTGGTGCCAAATTGGCTTCTGCCCAGCCACTGGGCTGGTTTTGGGGTGTACTCGATCAGTCAGCACTGAAGATCTTGAATTGGTGGTTCCCCACATCAGCAATGCATGGATTGTTGTTCCCATGTGCCCTTTGACTGGGCAAACCGGATCTTTTGGGCTTTAGGAGCTGGGTAGTGGATGTTAATACCTTTGGGTTTCAGGAGCTGGGTAGTGGATGTTAATACCTTTACTGTGTCACTAATTTCCTTTTTCCTTCCCTTTTGCTCTTCAGAAATGCCATTCTCCTGAGTGTGTAAGGAACCCACAGAAGTGTAATGTCTAACCCTACATGGAATAACAGCTCTTGGAAGGTACCACCCTTTTTTAACTCCATAGCTTTGTTACAGGTTGGGTTAATGGTGTGCTGATCTTTGCTTCAAAGCTTGGAATTGAAGAACTGTGTCTTAGGTAATGCTGTCCCTTTGAAAGGGCTGACAGTGCTGGGATCCTCCAGCCTCTGATTTCCAGAAAAACTGGGTGCAAGCTGACACTTGGTTTGGGGTGCTGAGGGACCATGCCTGTTTCTCTGTGGATGATGATGTCTTTAGGCAGCTCTGGTGTTGCCTTAGGAACAGATGGTGCTTTCTATTCAGAGAGCTGAGCTGAGCTTTCTTCATACTTGGTGGCCATCCTTGGAAACATATTGCCCTTCTTTTTAGTGATGCATGATGGTTTGCCTGTTTCTCCAATTCAGTGACCTTCTGGATTGTCTTTCTTGAGGCTTCCAGGCATATTTATGAAGAATATTGTGCTGAAGTGCAGTTCCACTTTAGCATTTCGATTGAAATGTCTTGGCTGTTCGTGCTGCATTAACCAGCTCTCAGGCGTTGGCTTGTTCTGCTGTCTGATCCTGCAGTGATGCCATAATACTGAATTTTGGACTGCCCTGTGCATTGCCATGGCAACAGACTGATGTCACACTCTCAAGGACATGACTTCAGTGCACGATCATGCAGAGGCACAGTCAGATTTGTGGAGGAGAAAGCTGACTAATGCACATCTCAAAAGCAAACAAGGGGAATGCAGGTTACAGCTGACCAACCAAGGTGCCTCAGTGTGCAATTCCCCACTCAGAGGAGGGGCTGATTTTGTCCCTGAGACAGGAACAATTGTCTTGATGAGCTTCTCTTCACCATGGAGAAGCAGAGGACTTGCAGGTTTCTTATATCTTTAAAACAGGTGGTGGAAGAGATCATTGTTTCTGGGGTGGGGAAATGCTCTCTGGTTTCAGAGCTTTGAAAGGGCATTCTTTTAATTTTAAAGAAGCTCTCAGTGGTCTTGTAAGCACCCTGAGAATACTTTGACTTGCTTAATGTTGTTCAAACAGTTTAATTGGTTTTCCAAAGCTTTTATTTTATCCATAACATTGGAAGGTGAAAGGGGAACTCCGCATCTGCATTATGGTCACATTTTCCTATATCCTATTAGCAGATTCCAAGATTGTTTAATGTGATCTCCACCCATTTCATTTGGCTGCAACCTTTGCTCCCATGAAAACAAGGCTGATTGTTCTGAATTGCTGTGTGTATGTGCTTTGGCAAGGCATGAAGGTACCTACAATAACACAACCATTGTCTGGAAAAAAAGGCAGTTTGCAGTAATAACTAGAAATAACAGGGTGCAGTCCAGGGGCAGGACAGATAATGGTCCTTGTCCCACCCACTGCACAGGGCAGATTCTTAAACATGGTCACCCCTCAGCATGACAGGGCTGTGGGCTTTAGCCTGGGATGTGAATACTGGGAATAAGGGACTGAAATATTTGCAAGTTGTTCCAAGTTTCTCTTTCCTGGCCTCGGTTCCGTTGCTCATATCTACGGATGGGGAGACTGAATGACTTTTGCACAATGCAGTGTTTTATTTGCATGCTGTGAGCAGTTTAACAAGTGTGTGTGTGCTAAATGAAGCATTCCCACTTTGTGTGAGCAGCTGATGCACCCTTAAAATAAAAAAAAAAAGATTAAAAAAGCCAGTGCCTTTAGGTTGAACAGTGGGGTTTTGAGGGGTGACATTGTGCTGGTGGGTTATGCCAAGGCTGAATGTTAACTAGAAATGCTGTGAGATGCAGCAAATAACCAACTCATACTCCTTGGTGCTAAAGTAATTTCTGCTCATCTCTGCACTTTGTGGGTAAAAGCTGTTACAGTACAAAATTTGGAAGGAACATAATTGTTTTAAATGCTCAGTGTCACAGGAATTGAGGGCATTTAACAGAAACTGGCATTTCTTGTAGCAGTTTGGTTGCCTCCCAGGACAGGAAACTGTGAAGTGGTAAAAAAAGAGTCGGGGAAGGAGTTTAACAACCCTCTCTGTAAATCATGATGCTTGAATTCAGATCCTGGCCTTGAGCTGAAAGGACTGGGAGCTCTGCAGGACCCAGTGATTCAAGCTGCTCTGCACAGAACAAGAAGATAATGGTGATGGACTACCAGGAAAGCAGCCTTGCTGAAAAGAGAGGCTTTGTGATACAGTCAAGGGGAAGGAAGTCTGGAGAACTCAGAAAAGGAACAGATGTTTTTGGTGGTGGGGAAAAACTTAACTATCCCTGTAGTTTGCTCTTGCAGCAGAGCCAGCAGGAGGAACTTGATACCAAACAAAAATAGGCACACCCAGGATTTAGGAGAGGGATCCTGGAAAGCTGAAAATCAGTGCTTTGGTGCTTTTCTGCTTGACAAATACCTTATGCAGTGGCATCTGGCAGATATAATAATGTATGTGTGTGCAAAGGTGTGTGTAAAACAGCTTGAAGGTGTTAGATGTTTCTCTTTAACAGCAATAAAAGAAGTATTGATGTATGAAGTGATACCCAAAGTGGGGAGCCAAGAGAGATGCTGTTCTCTGAGAAGGAAATAATGACAGAAGATGCATTAAAAAAGAGGGTGAGGTTTTTTTTTCTAGGGTGTGTTTGTGGATGGTGATGACTGGAAGTGTGATAAAACAATTTGCTGATCCTATGTATCAAAGTACCAGTGGCAATGATTTTTCAAGCTGTTGAAACTTGCATCCACCAAGAAATATATATCTATTTCATTCTTCCTAATAGGTTAATCCACTGTAATTGGCTGTGAAATCAACCTGGGGGAATTTTCCCATCTGTAAATGATGCACAGCCTCTTTGCTGTCTGCTTGGCAACTGTACCTTCGCATAATTAAAAGCTGTTTTTTAAATCCACTTTTCTTTCAACTCTTGTTTTTCTGCATCTTGCTGTTTCTCTGAGAGCTGTCAGTCACTCTTCTGGCCAGGGTGTAAAAACCAAGATAATGTCCTTTTAGGAAAGGAAAACTGCAGATGATCTTTTTAATTTTTTTAAAAAAGCATAAAACCTCCAAAACTAGGTGAATGTGAGGAGCTTTTTAGCATGCATGTCACTGCTGCATTTCTAAAAGTAACTAAATTTTCCCAGTCCAATATGGAAAATTTTGACTTTCAGAGCTCTGGTGCCACTTGCCCTGCTAAAATCAATATCCAGGCCTCCATGGTTCACTGAGGAAGCAGTTCCAGTTCCCAGAAATGGCAGGAGCTGCTCAGCACAGGGATCCTCTGGTTTCAGCACATACTTTCATTGCTCTGTGGTGCTTTGAGAGGCTGAAGGGTGGGATGCAGCTCCAGTGAATTTCCAGATTCCTAACAGTGTGAGGGACTGTTTTTAATAGTGATGATAAAAACAGCTATTCCCAGTTGGAGGTTTAGTCAGTGGTATAATTATCAGAGCTATGAAATAGTGCAGGGATGGCTTGGGATGGAAAAAACTAAAGCTTGTAACTTATTTTCTTGAGGGAGCTGTTTGAAATGATTTCCTGCAAGCTCGTAGAGAATTGGTGAGAGATGTCAAAGGGTGAGGGCTCAAGATTGGTGATTGCTTTGGTAATTCAGGGTTTGGGCTGGCAAACTGCAGCTGGCTTTTGGGAGAGAATTGGTTGTTGAAGGCCAGGGGGATGAGTGGGAGCTCTGGAGTGGCACATTTGGTTTGTAGAGTGCTGAGGGTTTCCACAGCAGGGTCACAATCCCCAGAGCTCCAAATCTGCCTCACTCAAACCATCCCTTCTAAACCACAGCTGTGGGCTCCTCATTTTCTGCTTCACTTCTTAGAGATTTGGTGGGGTTTATTCATATTTTCTCCATTTTGTCCAAGAGGGGAAAATACTGTTTGTGCTGGAGGGAGCAATGGGAATATTGAGTTAGGGAGCAATGTAGGTATTTTTTCCTTTTTCTGTCTTTATTATAAGTTGTTTTTTGGACCTGTTAGAGCAGAGACCACAAAGATGCTCTGAGGACTGGAGCACCTCTGCTCTGGAGCTGGGCTGGGAGTGTTCACCTGGAGAAGAGAAAGTTCTGGGGAGACATTGGAGCCCCTTCCAGGGCTTAAGGGGACTTGGGAAAAAGAGAGAATGACTTTTTATGTGGGTAGATAGGGATGGGACAAAGGGGAGCAGTTTTAAAATAAGAGGATAGATTTAAATTAGATATTGGGAGGAAATTCTTCTCTGTGAGGATGGTGAGGCCCTGGCACAGGTGCCCAGAGCAGCTGTGGCTGCCCCTGGATCCCTGCAGTGCCCAAGGCCAGGTTGGACAGGGCTTGGAGCAGACTGGGACAGTGGAAGGTGTCCCTGCCATGGCAGGGTATTAGAACAAGGTGATCTTTAAGGTCCCTTCCAACCCAAATCATTCTAGGATTTTATGTTTCCTGTGTTTTTTCATGAAAAAAATTCCAAGTCTTGTAAAACAAACCTGAATCTGATGTTTCCAGTGGACTTTAGAAAAGTTCATGCTTCCAAAGTGGTTATTAACATGGAAAGGATTGCACCACAATTATTTCTGGTGTCCTCTTCTAGGTCTGTGCCACTGAATTTTGAAGAGGAAATGTGAAAAGGGAAAGGCAGAAGCAGAAGTTGTCACAGTTCATAATGTGCAGAAGTTGTCCTTTACTGAAATTTCAAAGCTATTTTGGGGCCTTTCTTTTTTTCCATAAGAATGAATTACAGTGGAATTCGTGCCATGCTTAGGATTTCTGAAACTTTAATTGTGTCAGTTGCTAGGTGTATTGACTACAAAGCCCTGAAAATATCAAACTATTTTTTATTTCAATAATTCTTGAGTTATTAGTGGGGGAAAAAAAATCTTTAAAAATAGAGCTAATAAAAGATTAAAGATCTGTGGAATTGGTAGGTTTCCAGATTAGCTTAGATTTTGAACAGTCCTTTGAAATAATCATAATGAAATAAGATATTGAATTTAATGTTGGTTTCTACTGCAGTTTACCAGTTAAAATCTCTGAGTTTTGTGAAGCAGAGTTGCTTCAGCAGATGTTTTG